ATTATTAAAAGCCTGTTTAGTTAGGCTTACTTTTTTTTTTAAACAAATAATTAATGGTATTGAGTGATACCCTCATCGAAAGAAAAAAAAATTAAGGATGAGGTCAGAATTAATAGAAATAATAAAAAGTTGTACATCCTATTTCGGTATCTTTACCTTCGATATATTGTAACAATAAACGTAAATTATAGTTTTATTTTCATACAATTTTGTATCGAATTTTGTAATTATTTGATGGATATAAAAATTTTATGAAATATGGATGAGGTCCATACTCATATTAGAATCTTTATTATAAATTTTCTATATTAAGCTCATATTTAGTATCGATTAAAATTTAAATTTAAATTAAAGTTAACAATTAATTTTAATCACATATTTNGTGTGTCAAACTAGTATATATATAAACATATGCATATGCTCTATCATTCCTTCCTTTTTAATTTCATTTTTGGAATCCACACACTTCTCAATTAAAAGCAAATATGACCAATGTCTATGGTCCATCATAGTCGCTACAATAACTCAAAAAACTCCAAAGTATATAAATCACCAAATAGTCCTGACTACGGTATATGGTGCTTGTTTGTACCGATTCATAGTTCATATGCCACTAAGGGACCATCTAACATTGCTTGTGGTTTTTTTTTCCCCAACTATTACTTATGAGACCTACTTCAACTCATTTCAATAAAAGTGCGCAACTTTCACACCATCTTATTTAGCCCCTATTTGGTTTAGATAAAATTCAGATTTTTAGTTAATTTTTATAAAAATTAATGAAATTTATGGTTGAAAAATTGTGGGCTTCAGACTCTCATGAAATATGTAGTTAAAATTAAGTGTTAACTTTGAATTGAATTTTAATATATTTTTTTTAGTGGAATCAAACAAGGACTTTGTTATTTCCAACCCATTACTACTAAAGTTACTAAATTAAAATTTACAGTTAATTAACTGAAATTGCATTTATAATAAATTTTAGGGATAATTGCAGCAAAAGTTCCAATCTTTTGAAACACTTGCGACTTTCTCCAAACTTTTCAATAGTTGCAGCCGTCGCCTCTAATCTTTCAAACATTGCATGTAAGGGCTTTTGGATGGTTTCAATCCAAGAAGCCATCAATTGACCACCAAAATTGGAATTGACCATATTTATATAATTTCAAAAACGATAAAATAGTAATGTTATATTCATCGCATCAAACAATTAAAATACTACTAAAATCATAAAATTGGCCACGCCACCACCACCTCAAATCACCCTTTCTATTTTCACCAAATCACCCTCACAACGTCACCATCGCTGCCCAATCATAAATCGTCGATGACGGTGATTAGTGGTGATAATGGTTCGTATTTGCAGCTAAGGAGCAGCAAGTGGTGAAGCTTGCACCCCAAATCGAAGCCTATGTCCCCAATTAAAACAGTTATAAGGAACAATCTTGGAATTGAATGGAGTTTATGATTTTTGAACATTATTAATTGTGAAAACACGTATGGCTTTGTATGGTGAAAAGGAGTGGTACTTCGCACTAAATGTCTCTTCATCCATGAAAGTTGCACCACGTCTTATGCCACGGCTATGAAGAATCCATTTTTTTTGTGGATTTTAAGATTTGAATCTGTAAATGTCGACGTGGGCATCTGTTTCGGGTTTTATTTTTTCCGCCATTGATGTACAAGGAATTTCTCATATTGTTTTGGACATCCACATGTTGTCTCCATTGACTGTCTACATATTTTTGAAATTAATTATTTCATTCCACGTTTGATGCTGACGACGAGCGGTGATGTATGCGGAGGCGAGTGGGGTACATATTAGTATTCTTTTCTTTTGCTTTTGGTAAGGTGGTGGCGGTGGTTTGAGGGTGGTGGTTGTAGAGTTCCGATGGCGGTGACAGTGGTTAATAGTGGCATAGCCATTTTTATGATTTTATGTGGGGTGGGTTGGGAGGAAGAAGATAAGTTTTTTTTTTTTTTTTTGTGGGTTTTTTTTTTTTTTTTTTTTTTTTTTTTTTTTGGTGTAATC